AAATCAATACGTGAAATTCACCAAATCAATAGAATAAAGGAGGAAAGGCATTTGATCATTAAATAGATGTAGCTGTGATGAAATTCACACCCATTCACGATGAAAATTCTCCGTAAACTAAGAAGAGAAATTTCCTTACCTGGTAGAAGGCATCTCTGAAATACCATACTCAATGGTGGAAGACTGAATGTTTTCTAGAATTGGGGAAAAGGCACAGATATCCACTCACACTACTTCTATTCAATATTGTACTAGCTGGCCCAGAGCAGTAGGAGAAGGAAAAAGAAAAAAGGCTTATGTTTTTTTGAAAGTAAGCTCTAGGCCCAATGTGGGGCTTGAACTCATGACCCAGAGATCAAGAGTCACATGCTCTACCATCTGAGCCAGGCAGACACTCCAAAAGGCATACATATTGAAAAAAAAAAGAAGTAAAACTGTCCTTAATTGAAAATGATCACCATGAAAGATGCCTGAGTGGCTCAGTGGTTGAGTGGCTCAAGGCGTGGTCCCAGGGTCCTGGGATTGAGTCCCACATTGGGCTTCCCACAGGGAACCTGCTTCTCCCTCTGCCTATGTCTCTGCCTCTCTCTTTCTCATGAATAAATAAAAGCTTAAAAAAAAAGAAAAGAAAGAAAATGATCACCATGAACATAAAAAATCCTAAAGGATCAACAAAAAGTCAGTACAATTATACGTTAGTTTGACTTAGCAGGACATTGGATTACAAGATGCAGCCATATTAGCATGTAGAGGGGAATTTCTAACCTTAAAACACAAATATTAGAGAAGAAAGACTGAAAAGGTAAGCTTTAGGTTTCCATCTCAAAAAGAACACCAAGTAAAACCTGAAGAAACTAGGACAAAGGAAATGAGGACGAGCAGAAATCTATAAGAGAAAACAAATATAGAGTGAAGAAAAACCAGAAGTTGTTTCTTTAAGAAAGATTACTAAAATTGATAAACACCTATAAAAAATAATCGATAAAGGGGCGTCTGGGTGGCTTGCTTGGTTAAGTGTCCAATCCTTGATTTCAGCTCAGATCCTGATCTTGGGGTTGTGAGATTGAGCCCTGCGCTGTGCTCCATACTCAGCTGGAAGTCTGCTTGTCCCTCTCTCTCTGCTCTTTTCTCTCTGATAAACAAAATATTTTTTTAAAAAATTTTATTTATTTATTCATGAGAGACACACAGAGAGAGAGGCAGAGACACAGGCAGAGGGAGAAGCAGGCTCCATGCAGGGAGCCTGACGTGGGACTGATCCCGAGTCTCCAGGATCACACCCTGGGCTGAAGTCCGTGCTCAACTGCTGAGCCACCCGGGCTGCCTTTTTTTTTTTTTAAAGAACAAACAAAATCTTAAAAAAATAATCAAGAAAAAAAGTCAGGAAGAAAAAGGGGCTATCACTATATATCCTGTAGGCATTAAAAAACATGAGGCTGTTATGAGAAACTTCGCATCAACACACCTGAAAATGTATAAAAATGGGAAGATGTTTTAAAAACACAAATTTTTCCAAACATTACTCAGAAAATAGAAAATCTGAATCTGAAATCAAGTATACATTAAAGATATTTGGTTATGATAAAATCTCCTACAAAGAAAATCCAGGTTTAGGTGGCTTCGTCAGCGAATCCTTCTTCTAAAGAAATAAAGTATTTTACACAATTTCCTTCATGTAACAAAAAGAAGAAATATTTCTCACTTCATTTCAGGTGCCCAATTTAACCTTAATGCCTAACTTGACAAGGTCCTTACAGGAAAGTAAAATTACAAACCAATCTCATAATGTATGTAAAAACCTGAACAAAATATTAGCAAATGAAATTCAATGATATATAAAAAGTGTACTATAGCTACTAAACATCCCCAAGACCACCTCCAGACTCACTGATTTGCTAGGAGAACTCACAGGACTCAGCATACTTTGGTTATGATTTATTATAATGAAATGATACAAAGCTAAAGTCAGTAAAAAGAAAATGTGAAGTCTAGAAGAGCAAGCTTCCAAGAATCCTCTCCCAGTGGAATTACATAAGATTTGCCTAATGTCTCTAGCAATAAGTTGTGATAACATGTATGAAGTGTTGTCTACCAGGTAAGAGACTTGGGTGTCCAAGGATTTTATTGGACGATAGCTACATAAGCAACCTCTATTTAGCATGTACTTACCAAAATTTGACTCCCAGAAGGAAGCAGGTGTTCAGCATAAACCACATAGTTTGTACAAACAGTTTAGGCACAGTGAGCCACTTTGGATAGGTGGAAACACTTCTGAAACCAAAGTTCCAGACACCAGCCAAAGGCCAATCTTTCAAGTAGGACTTCCTAAGGATAGTAGTCTCAGGCCTGCTATGTCAACTCTTTTCTGCATAATATCATAAGCAAATGAGTTTCTTCCCAGGAATGCAAGCTTAATTATACCCTTGAAAATCCATGTAATTCATCCCATTCACAGAATAAAGTGGAGAATCATAGGATCATCTCAAGGGCTGCAGAGAAAGTATTCAATAAAATGTATCATTAACATTTCAGTAAACTAGGAAGAGAAGGGACTCTCTTAAACTGATAGAGTATCTGCAAAAAAAAAAAAGTCCTTATTTAACATATTGATGGTGAAATCTTTTTCTTTTGAGAACTTTTAAGATTTCTTTTTTTTTTTTTTATTTACGAGAGTCACAGAGAGAGAGAGAGAGAGAGAGAGAGAGAGGCAGAGGGAGAAGCAGGCTCCATGCACCGGGAGCCCGACGTGGGATTCGATCCCGGGTCTCCAGGATCGCGCCCTGGGCCAAAGGCAGGCGCTAAACCGCTGCGCCACCCAGGGATCCCACTTTTAAGATTTCTTAGCAACTTTCAAATTTGCAATACAATATTATTGACTATAGGTCATCATGAGGTACATTACATCCCCATGACTTATTTGTTTTATAACTGAAAGTTTGTACCTCTTGATGCCTTTACCCATTTTGTCCTCCACACAGCCTTCCACCCTCCCCTCGGGCAGTCATCAAATTATTCTCTAGGAGTTGAGTTTTGTTTTAGATTCCACATGTAAGTGGAATCATATGGTAATTGTCTTTCTCTGTCCTATTTCCATTTGGCGTAAAACCATCAAGGTCTCTCCATGTTGTTGCAAATGGCAAGATCTCATTTTTATTATGGCCAAGTAATACGCCATTGAATATATACAGCATATCTTCTTTCTCCACTCATTGGGAGATGTCCATTGATGGACAGTTTGTCCCCATGTCTTAGCTATTATTATGAATAATGTGGCAGTGAACACAGCGATGCATCTATCTTTTCAAATTAGGGTTTTGTTTTCTTGGGATGAATACCCAGTAGTGGAGTTACTGGGTCATGTGGCATTTCTGTTTTTAATTTTTTGAGGAACCTTCATGTTTTCCAGAGTGACTGCATTAAGACACATTCCCACCAACAGTGCACAAGGGTTCCTGTTCCTCTACATCCTTGCCAATATTTGTTATTCTCATTCTTTTGATAATAGCCATTCTGACAAATGTGTGGTGATATCTCACTGTGATTTTTTTTCTCACTGTGATTCTGATGTGCATTTACCTCATGAGTGATGTTAAGCATCTTTTCATTTGTCTGTTGGCTATCTGTATGTCTTCTTTGGAAAAATGTCTATTCATGTCTTCTGCCCATTTATTGATTGGATTGTTTTGTTTTGTTATTGAGCTGCATAAGTTCTTTATATATATATATTTTTAATTTTTTTTAATTTTTATTTATTTATGATAGTCACAGAGAGAGAAAGAGAGAGAGGCAGAGACACAGGCAGAGGGAGAAGCAGGCTCCATGCACCGGGAGCCCGACGTGGGATTCGATCCCGCGTCTCCAGGATCGTGCCCTGGGCCAAAGGCAGGCGTCAAACTGCTGCACGACCCAGGGATTCCAGTTCTTTATATATTTTGGATATTAACCTCTTATCTTATATATGACTACACTGTAGGGATCCCTGGGTGGCTCAGCGGTTTAGCGCCGCCTTCAGGCCAGAGCGTGATCCTGGAGACCCAGGATCGAGTCCCACATCAGGCTCCCTGCCTGATGGAGCCTGCTTCTCTCTCTGCCTATGTCCCTGCCTCTCTCTGTCACTCATGAATAAATAAAAAAAATTTTTTTAAAAAGACTACACTATAATTGCTCCTGCCCCCGGGGACCCTGGCTTATCAGCTGCTTGCTTTAAAAGGTGCTGAGCCCTTACGCTGGGGTTTTCAAATGTGGCATCATCCATTGTGTGCATCACTCTCATTGTCACTCATAGGACTTGGGTGCAGGAGAACCAGGCTGCTGTACTGCCATTCCTGCTGTTTGCTGTGCTAGGAGGAATTCGGTCTTACCATCTACTTTGAGTTGTGGCAAGTTTACCCCTAACCATCCTTTATGAAAAGGGTGAGCAGGGCCAGATGGTAGTTTTCAAGGCTACAAGCCACGTTGTTTCTGTTGGCGACTATTGAGCCTAACCAATAGCATGACAGAGGCTGTATGCAATATGTAAATGAGTGGGTGTAGCTGTGTTTCCCCCTGAAGCACTTTAAGTACAAGAAAGAGCAGCTGACCCGTCTTCCTTTTAGAGCTGGACCATTTGAGGCTCAAAGTCGTAACTTGCCTAATGTCTCTTATTCCACGGGTAGTGGAAGTGCGTAAGGGGAGGTAAGGAAGGCTGTTTGCCACCAGATCCCTTTCCACCTTTCCCCACCTTACTCTGTTTTGCTCACTGCTACTAAAGAAAATCGGCTTGCAAGTTCTGCCAAGGATGGGAGGCGCAGGCGGAGCTAGGAAGGCGCAGAGGAGAGGGGAGGGAAACCAGGTGGTTTCTCAGCTTCTCAGACTGTCGCCGCCTGGGGGTAGGACTTCTCCATCCCTCTCTCCAGGTGCCTGGAATTGCTTCTGCTCCTTACCTTTTATGCCTAGAAGAAAAAAGTTTCCGCCCACCTCCGTTCCAAGCAGCTAGGAGTGCAGCGCTGTCCTTCAGGTTAGCCTCTCTATTCCAACGACCGACCGGCCGCCTGCCCTGCCGGGACCCTCCGCCGACTGACAGCCAAACTGGCCCGGGTCCACTGAAAACCCTTTCCCTACACCTCCCCTGCGGGTAGCAAACCCCGCTTTTACTACTCCAGATGGTTTTCAGGCCTCAAAACCCAGTGCACGGTCCATCCCTTGGAAACTTGTCCCAACTGCCACCCGGGTACTGTGTCCTCGCAGCTCCCGTCCCCTCCTCTCGCACCCCCACGTTATGGGTCACGGGCTGATCACGCTCCCTCTTTGTGCCTTGCGTGCCCCGTACAGGGAGCCTCGAGCTCTGGCTCACTTTGGTGTCCGCCGACACCGAAAGGCCGATTCCAATCGCCATCCTCATTTGCGGAGCACGGCGGCGCGAACCATTTCTCACGGTAAAATCGTCCTTAGAAAAGAGAACCGTGGGGCTGCGGCCTGTTTACCGATCCTGCGGTCAGACGGCCACAACTGACCGCTTCTACCAGTGTACCGTCCGCGGGCTGGGGGAACTCGGGAACTGCCCCTGCCCCGAGCCCCGCGGGCCACAGCCTCGCGCGCCGGGACTGGTCCCGATCACCGCGAAGACCGCGTACGCCCATTCTCCTCCCCGCGCAGGCGCGGCGGGCCTGGAGGCGGCCCCGGACCTTGCAAACCATAGAGCGCCGCGGGCGGGCAGAGGGGCCAGAAGCGGGGGTCGCTCCATCCCCCGCTTCCGGCCGGGCCTCGCTGCTCTGGGAACGCCTGTGGCCGCGAGCGCAGTTTCCATGGGGACAGAAGATGGCGTCGCGAGGTGAGATTCCGGAGGTGTGTGTCTCTGGTCCCGTTGCCTTCAGTGTCCCTCTCTCCCCCGTTAGAGCTCACCTAAACTCTTCATTCTCGGGTGTTAGGGATGTCGCTCGTCGCTTGTGTAGAGTGGGGTTTCGCAGCCTCACCCATCGAGTGCTGAGGTCTCGAGGTGCAGGTCTCAGCAACCCCCAAATCCTGGGCTGGGCCTCTTCTAGGCCGGCTCGGTTGCGAATCCGCTGTGTGTCGTTGAACAGGCCAGTGCTGGCCTCTGCGCCCTAATTTCCCAAATAGGGCGCAGCGACGGGATGAGATCTTAGACTTTCACCCCGGAGCCAAGAGTCGGGTTTGGCGTGATTCCGGGGAAAGAAGCGGATTAAGGAGGCCCCCTACACACGCACACACCCTCATTATCAGCAATAAGAAGTACCCCCAAGAGGCCTTTCCCTCCAGCTGCGACCTCGTCTCCTTCAAGTTAGGCACAAAACCATTCGGAGGGCGGAGATTGATACGCCGTCTCGCACATCCTTCTCACTTGTGCTCATCTTTTCAGGTAAACGGCTGTCCTCCACCCCGCTGGAAATCCTGTTCTTTCTGAACGGGTGGTATTATGCTACCTATTTTCTCCTGGAACTCTTCATATTTCTGTATAAAGGTAAGGCCTGGGGCTTGACTAACCTTGTCCCAACATCCCTTCCCCACTTCAGCCCAGAGCCAACTCCCATCAGGAGCCTATTTTCCATCCTTTTCGTTGCTCCTTTTTACTGCTAGTTAGAGAAGTGTTTTCATCATCAACACACACTGAGTTAACATACCCTGCAGCAGGCTAACAGATCCTGTCCACATCTCACTAACTAGTTCATGGAAAGCTGATAAGACTCATGCCCTCTTTATTCCCAAGTGTGGGGGAGTTCTTGTGGGTGCTCTTATGTTTGCAAACTCTGGCTTTTGTGTCGGCAGCTCTCCTCCTACCATATCCAACAGCCAATCTAGTACTGGATGTGGTGATGCTTCTCCTTTACCTTGGAATTGAAGTAATTCGACTGTTTTTTGGTGAGTGTTGTCCAGAGAATATTTCCATTCCTTCTCAGACAGACTGCTATCTGTAACTTAACAAGAGGTACATAACCTAGTTTCACAATAAGAGATTGGATCTGATGGAATGTCCCATTACTCCCTCTCTGAAGTTTCAAGCTGCTTCATTTTCTGGGTCAGGCTTTACTAGTTTGTTGCTCTGTAGAGACAGAAGTGGGCAGTAACATGAGTTTTTTTTTTTTTTTGTTTGTTTGTTTAAGATTTTATTAATTAGAGAGAGAGAGAATGAGAATGAGCAGGGGGAGGGGCAGAGGGAGAAGCAGACTTCCTGCAAAGACCTGACTTGGGATTCAATCCCAGGGCCCTGGGATCATGACCTGAGGTGAAGGCAGATGTTTAACCAACTGAGCCACCTGAGATTTTAGATAGGTTCTTCCTAACTTCCCAAGTGCTATGAGAGCCTGCCTGGTTCCTATTACTAGCTTGCTTAGGAGAATAGATTTGACTATAACTCCATGTTCAGGGCAGTATATGTCACACAAGAAAGCACTAAGGTCCCCTCTTCTCTCTGAACAGGATTTCTTTAGGACAAGTTTTTTATCCTCCCAGATCCAGAGTAGATTCCTTATTAGTTAGAAAATATCTCATCCCAGGAAACAGTGTTAAAACACAGGCTGAGAAGAAACAGTATTTGCAACATATGTAACAAAGATAGAAGGCTCACAGGAGTAACTAAAGATGACCTAATTTTAAAAATTGGTAAGGGACATTAATAGGGAGTTCACATAAGAATAATTACAGAGAATCATTAATCATGATAAAATGTCCAAACTCATTAATAAAAAGCAAATTGAAACAAGGTAATAATTTCATCCATCAGATTAGAAAGATTTCCGAATACCCAGTATTGTAATGGGTATGAGGACCAGGTCTTTCTATTCCACACTCTTTGGGAATATAAATTAGAATAATTGTTTTTGCTAAAGTTTTGTCATGTGAAATTTGTATTATTTTTTAAAATATTTATTTATTTGAGAGAGAGGGCATGAGTGGGGTGGAGGGGCAGAGGGAGATGGAAAGAATTTCAAGCAGACTCCTCACCGAGCACAGAGCCTGATGCAGGGCTCAATCCCATGACCCTGAGATCATGACCTGAGCTGAAATCAAGAGTCGTACCCTCAAGTGACTAAGTCACCCAGGCACCCCTAAAATTTGTATTTTTTTCTGAGACATAACAATTACGCATCTAAAATTGGTTGGTAAAGAAACAAACACTTCCACAGATATGCAAAGGTATCTATAGGAGAAAGTTTATGGCCACGTATTTTGTAACATCAAAACATTAGAGGGGTGCCTGGCTGGCTCAGTCATGGAGTGTGCAACTCTTGATCTCTGGGTTGTAAGTCCAAGCCCCAAGTTGGTGTAGAGATTACTTAAAAAAAAAAAAATCTTTAAAAAAAATTAGAGGGTGCCTGGGTGGCTCAGATGGTAAAGCATTTGCTTTTGGCTAGGTCATGATCTCAGGGTCCTGAGATTGAGCCTCATTGGGCTCCCTGTTCAGCATGGAGTCTGCGTCTCCCTCTGCCTCTGCCCCTCCCCACCTCATGCTTGTTCACGCTCTTTCAGATAAATAAAATCTTTAAAAAAAAAAAATCGGAAACAACTTAAACATCTGGCAATAGGGGATTAGTTAAAATATGGAATTGCTTCCGTGAAATTGTTCATGGCCATTAAAAAAAGAATAAGGTAGTTATATGGGTAGTTATTTCATATGTATATGAAAAGATACATTAAATGGTAGTTATTTAATATGTATTAAATAAGAATAAGGTAGTTATTTCATATGTATATGAAAAGATACATTAAATGGGAAAAAAACAAGTTGAAAATAGTATGTACAGTGTGATTCTATTTTTATTTTTTAATTCTATTTTTGTAATAATAAAGAGTAATATGTAAGTATACAGACATAAAAAAACCTGGAACAGTATGCATCATTCTATAATAATGGTTATCTCCAGTGGGGAGCCATGGGGTCTTTTAGTTTCTATATTTCTTTTTTTTTTTTAATATTTTTTATTTATTTATTTTTATTTATTTATGACAATCACACAGATATAGAGAGAGAGGCAGAGACACAGGCAGAGGGAGAAGCAGGCTCCATGCACCGGGAGCCTGATGTGGGATTCGATCCCGGGTCTCCAGGATCGCGCCCTGGGCCAAAGGCAGGCGCTAAACCGCTGCGCCACCCAGGGATCCCAGTTTCTATATTTCTTAAAATTATTTTCTGTATTTATGTTAGTTGATTCTTTTTTTTTTTTTAAAGATTTAATTTATTTATTCATGAGAGACACACAGAGAGAGGCAGAGACACAGGCAGAGGGAGAAGCAGGCTCTATGCAGGGAGCTTGATGTGGGACTCGATCCCGGGTCTCCAGGATGAGGCCCCGGGCTGAAGGCGGTACTAAACCACTGAGCCACCGGGGCTGCCCTAGTTGAAAGATGCTCAATGATTATATATTGTAATTAAAAATATATATATAGGGACGGCTGGGTGGCTCAGCGGTTGAGCGTCTGCCTTCAGCTCAGTGTGTGATCCCAGGTTCTGGGGATCGAGTCCCAAACTGGGCTCCCTGCGAGGAGCTTAGTTCTCCCTCTGCCTCTCTGTCTCTCTCATGAATTAAAAAAAAAAAAAAAAAATTCCCTGAGTAAAGAAGCTGTTGTCCCTTGAGTGGGAGCCAGACTTGAAGCAGGACCTTTGGAGTGAATGACTCCGTCCTGTGGCACCTCCAAAGCCCTTCATTTTTAGCACGCTAGGACCCTCTTTATAAATCTGCCCATCCCCATTCAGGATAATTTTTCTCTGCCTTGCCAGTCCACCCCATCCCATCCCCTCAACCTTTTCTCTGAGCCCAGGGAAAGCAGGCCACATGGAGGTGACTCCATGGGCTGTATCTGACAGGTACAAAGGGGAACCTCTGCCAGCGAAAGATGCCACTTGGTTTTAGCGTGGCCTTGACCTTCCCATCTGCCATGATGGCCTCCTATTACCTGCTGCTGCAGACCTACGTGCTCCGCCTGGAAGCCATCATGAACAGCATCTTGCTCTTCTTCTGTGGTTCAGAGCTGCTGCTTGAGGTGCTCACCCTGACTGCTTTCTCCAGGTACTGCTGCTGAGGGTTCATTTCCTGTCACCTGAGGGTTGGGTTCCCAGCTCATCCTAGGGAGGGATTCATTGTTCTTCTGAAGCTTGAGGGGTCTGAAGGACTTTCAAGGGGAAAGGGGATGCCTATGGGACTGCTTTTTCTACTAGGGTAGATGGTTACTTAGGGAAGACATTCTCTTTGTTCTTTGGGGCCAAGAGGCTTGAAATACAGAACAGTTCAGGCCAGCTGCTCTTGTTCACTGGTCTTTTAACATTTTCTTTTTTTTTTCTTTCTGCCATCAGTATGGACAGGATATGAAATACAAAAATTTCAACCAGCAGCCCTTATGGGCTGAGACCACAGATTCTTCTGGTCTTTAGCCACATCAATGAGAACTGGTGGGTCAAGTTGTCCTGGGACAGGTTGCAGCTTTTCCTCAACACAGACATTTGGGCAGCAAACAGCATAAGGCCACTGGGCATCATCTTCTAAACCAGGACCATCAACCTAAGAGACTGTTCTACACTGCAGTGTAGGGAGGGGCAAGGTTGTCCTGTCCTGGCCCTTCTCAGAACCAGTTCTCTGCTGACCTCAAGTTTTCTTTGATCCTCGTGGCCAGAGCATCTTGTGTGGACCAGGGAGGCTCCTTGGGCTTCCAGCAGAACCAGAGCCACATCCTCCCCGTGTGTGCTGTGCCATACCTGTCACATGGGCAGAGAGCCTCCGGATGCTTTGCTCCCAGGGTGATGCAAAAGCCTCTCATTTCAGTCCTGAGACTGAGCTCCAGAACTTCTTTTAGCAGCTCATAGTGTTATTTTTCTACTCTCATCATGAAACAAACATTATTTTATAATAAATGTATATTTTCCATCATGGGAGTTGAAGCCTTTTCCTTCTGGCACCTATCCCTAGAATTTCATCCACTCCAAGGGAAGGTAGGGACTTTCCCAGCCAGTGGTTTGTTTTCAGGCTGTGCTTAGCAATCCTATGCAGACACGAAGGCAGTGATTTTCTCCTCTCAGCTCTAGCCTAAATTAATCCTTAAAGGCACTGTTAACTTATATATCTTCTTCAGGCCTGTCATCCGGTAAAAGACTGCTTATATTCTTCACCTCTGCCTCAAAGCCAGCTTTTCTCTCATTCCTCTTACAGATGATTGTCAGCTTTCCAGAGTGAGGCATGAATAATTAGAAAAAGCATATTCAAAACTTACCAATATTTTTTTTTGTCATTTATTTAAAAATTTCAAGTTAATGTAAAAGGAACTTTTTTTTAAAACTGGGGAAATGGGGATCCCTGGGTGGCACAGCGGTTTGGCGCCTGCCTTTGGCCCAGGGCACGATCCTGGAGACCCCGGATCGAATCCCACGTCGGGCTCCTGGTGCATGGAGCCTGCTTCTCTCCCTCTGCCTGTGTCTCTGCCTCTCTCTCTCTCTGTGTGACTATCATAAATAAATAAAAATTTAAATAAATAAATAAACAAGCAAACAAACAAACTGGGGAAATGTTGCCCCACATTGAGCATATAATTCATTCATTCCCTTCCCCAAGTAACCATCTTTTTTTTTTTTTTTTTTAAGATTTTATTTATTTATTAGAGAGAGAGGCAGAGGGAGAAGCAGGCTCCATGCAGAGAGCCTGATGTGGGACTCGATCCCAGGTCACCAGGATCACGCCCTGGGCTGAAGGCGGCACTAAACCATCAAGCCACCGGGGCTGCCCCCCAAGTAACTGTCTTTAAAACTATTTCTCATCTTGGTTGGTAGTGGCTTTTTTTTTTTCTTTCCCCCCAAAAAGCCACCAGGAGCCATGACAGACTCCACTTTAGAAAACCTTGAGCCATATGGCCCCTCTGCTGTCAGGGGAATCCTAGACTATCTGCTCTTGCTCAAAGTCAAAAGTTAATTGGTCTTTAAGCATTTCCATGCTGGCTTTTAATTCTGCTTATTTCCCGTGATGGAGCTCATTCTCAGCCTATGAAGGTCTCTACTGGCCAAAGCGCTGATAATTTTGGTTTCCACAAATTCTGTGTTCTTGACTCCTGGCTGCTTTTGGGGTCTATCCAAGAACTGTAGTAGACAGCTGTAATCCACTACGAAACAGTAACCAAAAATCCAGTAGGTACTTCCCTGATACTTCAGTCACAAACCCTTTCTGCAGCTCATACTGCTGCTTTCTCTAGCTTTTTTTTTTTTTTTTAGATTTTATTAATTTATTCATGAGAGAGAGAGAGAGAGAGAGAGAGAGAGAGAGAGAGAGAGGCAGAGGGAGAAGCAGGCTCCATGCAGGGAGCCTGACATGGGACTCGATCCCGGGTCCCCAGGATCACACCCCAGGCTGAAGGCGGCACTAAACTGCTGGGCCACTGGGGCTGCCCTCTCTAGCTTATTTTAAATACGTTGCTAGCATCTAGCGAGACAGGAACTTGTTCTCCATGGCCTCCCCATTTCTTTTGGAGGTTCAGTAGTTAAGGTCACTCTGCTGGCAACACAGATAAATGACTGAAAGGCTCAGTTGGAAGTTTAGAAGTGACCTAAAATTAAAAGGGACCTTAGAAAGGGATCTAATCCCCCACTTTACAGGCTTAGAGAAAGTAACAGCCAGGTAATCATACTGATTACCAACTGAATCTAGAAATCTTGTCGTTGGAGTCTCAGTCTAGATCAAGTAAATTCCACTCCTCAGCAGGTACCACTTGAGGATGAGAATGAGTGGTTGGAAACAGGTTTAGAGCAGAAGTCCTCTTGTTGATTTCATGGTTCTCCAGGAGCTTAGTGCCTTGTGCTTCTTGCAGATGGTTTCATGGGTGTTCATTCTTCCTGGTGCTTGCTGGAGCCACCATGTGAAGATAAGAGTCAAACCAGGGTAGAACGTCCTACAACAGAAACTGAGGCAGCAGAGGATGGGAATGAGCATAGTCTTTCAGGGTTAATGTGGTCAGATGCTATCTTCACTGAATGCCAAGGGAAGCCACTTTACAGTCCATCTAGACAGGATCAACATTCTGGAACAGTAGAGAGGACCTGAGTAAAGGAGCAGGCCTTGGTCACACAGGCTGGTAGAGATATTCTAGACCTGCTCAGATATTCACTCATGGCTAGAACTTCTCTAGAGGCTGAGGTCTGGCTCTGTACCATGGCAGCAGTGTGTAGGAGACGAATACTTACCCAGTGCCTGGCAGAGTAGACTTAATCCATACCATGATCCTACAAGGCAGAAGATCAACTCAAATGTTAAGTCAACCTGTATCTGAGGGCATTCAGCTTAATAAGAGTTGGGGTTTGAACTAAGAGTAACACAAAGATCATTCCCTTTGTTACACCATGGTAACTCTTCAATGAAGAATGTGTTTACATCTCTAAACTACCAGTCCTCACAATTTAATTTACATGAAATTCATCTAGAACATAAAAAGTAGATTTCTAGACTTCATGTGGATGTGGATGCAGCCCAAGAACTGGCTTTTCAAAAAGCAAGCACAACATGTAACCAAGATGGTTGGAACCATCAAACTTGCCTTGAGAGCCCACTCTTTATTTCCCATATGCTGCGCATGGTCGTAGAGCTTTGGGGGCTTTCTCTCCCTCTGAAGGTTTCTTGCTTTTATGCTGATCTTGCCTTTGTTGGCCCCAGTACACATTATATATCACCTGGTCTCTGGTTCATCTTCTTATACATGTAAGCTCTTTAGTTACAAGAAGCTTTCTGGAATTCCAAACTCTCCCACAACACTCTGCTAAACTTTCCCAATGTTTAGACCATAGTCCAATTTCTAAAACCTGCTCACATTTGTTTGCTCAGATTCTTAAAACAATGCCGTGGAAGGCAGAACAGCTATGGGTGGGTCTCAGCCCACAGTCCACAGGTGGTGTCCATAGGTGGTGTAAGCAGGCAGGGGCAAGCATACCTCCTGACTCCAAGCAGAGTCCTCCCACCCAGAACTTGAGAACATCAGAACTGAACCCTAAGGGGAGGACACTTAACTCAGGGAATGAATCTTAGGAATCTTGAAGCATAAAGGACGACTTGGAATTTTTCCTCCCTTAGTTTAGATGGCTAAGGAAGCAAGCTAACCCACAAGGGGGCACTTGCAAAGATCTGCACCAGAGGGCCCCTAGTGTACCGCAGGCAACCACATACCCGACCTTGACCTGCGATTCTAGCTCAGAACTCGGGGCTTCAGCACCATCCCATAGCCTCTACATCAGTCCCAGCCCGTGTCCCAGACACCTCAACAAATCTATTCAATGCGGAATCCAAAAAACAGCTCACACCCCATTTATTATTTAAAAATATTTTGTTACAAAAGGAAAAAAATACAATGCAGTATAAAAGATTGACAGCGTCATCAAGTTTATTACACAATTTTCAACCTATCAGAAAGACAAACAAATCACCGACAACAGGGGGACGGGGCCTTGGCCTTTTTGAGGGCTGGGTTTTTCTTTCCTTTTGCTATCAGGAAATAAAACTAAAATTTTTGTCATTGAGTAAAAACAAAACAAGAATGGGGAGAAAAAAATTCTCCGGGTAAACAGCTTTTCTGGTATTCTCTATTTTTTTTTTTCCTTAAACTGTCACCGTACTTGGTTTTCTCTACATTTTAAAAAGACACCCGGAGCTGCTCCCGAGGATAAGCACATTACTTAACGCTTGGCCAGTTGGGCGGGGGGCCATGTTCTGAAGTAGAGGTGGGGATGGGGTTGGGGGGACAGGGGGAAATAGCTACAAACTGTAGCCTCTGTCCCAAGGGAATGTGCCTGTCCAACCCTGGGGGCCCCCTCACTGACTGACCATGGGCTAGGTCAGAAACGTGCAGGGCACAGAAGAAGGGTTGGGTCCAACTCGGTCTCTCCCGTCTGAGCCAGAAGGGTCTCCAGTGGCCCTATGTCTCACACGCCGTCTCATCTCCTGTTAGATGTCACATGCCCTGTAAATGCATGCAGAAGCAGCAGCCATCGCCCTGTGGGTACCGCAGGACCCTGTTACTGCTGCTTCCATCAGCAGCAAACACACAACTTGGATGTTCTGTGAAGAGCAATTCCATTGGCCTGTGTAGAAAATGACCCCGAGTGGTGGTCCGTAGGACTCTGAGCTGAGCTCGTTCAAGTCAGGCTCCACTTCCTCCTTGCTCCTCATCAGAGGCAGGAAGTACCTCCACATAGAGTGAAGGAAACTATTAATACGTCAATAGTCCAAAGGTGGAAAGACACCAAATTTATGACTACCTGCCTATTAGTGCCAGGTTATCCCACAGTAAGTAAAAGTATGTACCTGGGGGATGCAAGCGCATGCTCACATTGAATCTGAAGAAAAGCCTATATGGAAGTAGGCCTAGCCTGCCCTAGCTTGCCTCCTCTCCTACCCCTCCCGGTACTTCACAGGGCTTCTTCAGTGCTGAGGTCCGATGTCCCCATCTCCCAAGGGCAGCATCTTCCTCTAAAACAAGGAAGCAGCCTTCTTGGGGGAGGGGCTCCATGTGTGAAACAGAAAAGCCCCAGGAAAGGGAACACCTAGTACAGCTGGTTACTGCAAGAGGCAACCAAGCACGAAGCAGCAGTGGGTGGTAACTGGCTCTGCCAGGCTCCCAGCAGCAAGCAACCTCATGGCCTTCTCTGCTTACGAGGGGCAAGTCCAATGAAGTGGCTGGGCAGCAGGGAGGTGGAAAGACTCAGTCCTCTGGGAGGTCAGGGAAACAAACTGTCAGTATGGAAGAGGGAAAAGCAAGAACAGGAGAAGCTTTTCATATGGGAATTTCTGTTCTCAAGATCCCTCTTCAAAGGGCTGAGAAGGTAAAGGAGTTAAACAAAGAAGTGGTATGTTAGCAAGGGGATTGGACCCTCTTGGCCCCATCAAACCTAATGCTGAGGGCAGGACCCTGGGCTTATTTTGGCACACCCAGTCACTTCTCCTAGATCCTGCACGGAGGAACCGTTTTCTGTGGGAAGAAAGTCTTCCCATCAACCTCACCACTGAATTCCTCCTGGAGAATCAGAAACTCCTACGTTTCCTTGGACAAAGCACCATTCTCTATGGAGACCAGGGGCCTAGACATGTTTTCTTCCTGTCTGCCACCCCTTCCAACCACATGGAAGTCTTTAGGTTCCTTCCCCTGACAAACAGGAGGTGTGGGATTGGGAGGGCTGCCAGGCAATCTTCCAATCTGTAGGGCAGAGGGTATTCCCTGGGTGTCTGAAGGGAGTTAGGGGTTTGGAGGAAGGGAGAGGGGTGGAGTGGCCTCCGTCCTTTAGTCCTGATCAAGGTGAGGAGATGCAAGTCCATTAAAAAAACATTTGCTTCCAACCAGACTCCTGCAATGAGAACATCAGAAGAAAAAGAAAACACATGTTAGAGATTATCTTCTGATTGATGTGTTTACAGGAACTATACTGGCATTGTCTAAAGTTACAATGTATGAAGTGGGGTATATACACAGACAGAATGCAAGCCTGGGAAAGCGAAGGAAAGAAAGCAGGATTGTCTGGAGGTGTCTGGGTACTGTCCATAGTGAGGGATGGTTGCAGGAACTACAGTGAGTAGAGAGAAAAAGCAGTAACATCTCAGTTTATGGTTAGGGAGAAACAGACAATGAAATGAAGTCTCAAAGCAGTTTGACTAAAAAGGAGACTTTGGCTGGAGAAATATGAAACTACGACAATCCAAAAAGAGTTGCAATAAGGGAATATAGGGAGTTGAAATACCATTTCAGAAAATATGTTCTGAGCAACTCTGAGCTTACCTTAAGGGGTAGGGTAAAAATCTGGAAATGGGAGGTACAAAGGTAAGAAAACAAATGTGCACATAACCAAATCCATTAACCCACAAACACCCAAGAGGCCCTAGCAGGGAGCATGTACTTAACACAGGAACTCCTAAACCCTCAAGAAGCCCTGTTTAACACATCCTTATGCATCCGTGTGCGCGCACACACACACACACACAGAACCAAGGATGTACTAAGCTATACTAAAACTCAAGGGATTTTAAATCTTTCCCCAGACGACAGCTTTGAGTAAGGGGCCAAGTAGCAGTTTCATATCAAGCAAGAGTTATCTGGCCAGGCCAGAACAGAGAGCAGAGCGTGGAAGTGAACGAATTCGTAGTCACAATTAAGAACTTCCATAGAACAGTAAGGCACTGTTCAGCCCCTCACCACATCTCTGCCAAACCTAAGGCCCCTAGTATGCCCAGCCCTTGTTCCAGGGTTGCAGTTATCAGTCAGCGGGGAGCAGCCTGATCAAGCTGACCGCATAAAGGAGAATGAACAGCGAACAGGAAAAAGAGAGATTAAATCAGGCTTAGGACTTCTACTAATGGCCAAACCCATAATATAGCCTCCACACAAATGCTCACTCTTTATGTATGCACTTCTTTTTTTTTTAAAAAAAAAAAAGACTATTTATTCATGAGAGACAGAGAGAGAGAGAGAGAGAGAGAGAGAGAGAGAGAGAGAGAGAGAGAGAGGCAGAGACACAGGCAGAGGGAGAAGCAGGCTCCATGCAGGGAGTCTGACATGGGACTCGATCCCAGGTCTCCAGGATCATGCCCTGGGCTGAAGGCGATGCTAAACCGCTAAGCCACCCACGCTGCCCTATGTATGCACTTCTGTAACCTGGAGGAATCACCTAAGTAAAAAACATCCACAAGCAGCCTGCTCCTTCTACATTCTACTATTTCGGCTTGGGAGCCTCAGAATCTGTTCTAGAAGTTTCTGCCTTCCAGCTTCTCTAAACAGCTATGCTCACAGCTACTTGTCTCATTTCCTGAGAAAACTCTGAAGCCCGCAGTGCCTCTCCCCTTCAAACCATTTGGGTTTCTGTATCTTTGCATTGGATCAAAATTGAACAGAATGTTTAGTTTTCATTGGACTGGGAGGAAAGGAATGAGGTGAGAATAATTATATTTTAAATACAATAATATCCCCAAATAATGAGCCAATAGCTGAGAACTACAATAAGTTGAAGCCAAAGCCACACATTACCTAAGAATATCCTCAGATTCCAAAGCATACACACATATACTCCAAAGGAGATGTAATTTGGAAACTGTTCAAAACAAAACAACAAAGGATAACTAATACATCAGGAGAAATCAACTGTTGCACTCAATTCTTACAGGTTGTGGTTACCTTTGGTGGTAATGTTTGGAGGCAGGCAGAAAGGATGGATAGAAAAGCTTGCTGTTGTATTGCTGCCTCGAGATGGAACAAATCCTTTGGCTCTCAGGAACACTCATCCAACAATATAAACACTAGTATTTTTAACTAAAATGTGTCATACACAGAACTTCCAACAGTTCTCCAGCTAAATGGACCCACATACCATCTCCCCAACACGGAACCTCCTACATCACGACTTGGTGACTGAAGATAGAATGCAAAGTTCTTAAGATGAGAATGTGAGCAACTGACATTTTTTGGGTTTCTGATTCAGTTCTTTTGGACTAGCTATCTGGATGGAATAACCAACATACCTAAGGGATAAAAAATGGGAACCTGGAAAACCTTTTTCCTCCTGTTGTCATAGGCTCACACCAGCCAAATGACTGTTTTCTGAGAACTACAGGGTTACAGGTTCTTCAGAGTTATGGAGGAACACTTTATGAGAAACACTCATTTATGACATTAATGAGAAACACTCATTTTACAGTTGGAAAAAATGATGCAAAATGACAGCCTCAGGTTCAGATGTTTAGTACCCAAAATGCTAGTCTATCAGTGGATCTCGCAATTTGTCTTTCAAAAGACTGTTAGAAGGAGAGCCACCAGGAATGGTGACATGCAGTTACATGCTCTAACTGCTAACCCAAATGTGGCCTTAGAGGTTATAATTCATGCTCTGCATGGACAAGTACCTCCCTGGTCACTATTCTTTAGTCTTTTCCAGTATGAAGGACCCATGCTGTGAGCAGCAGGATTAGGGGAGAGGGGACACTCAACTCCACAGCAACACTAGCAACTGTGTTAGCTCAAACAAGAGCAGGGATGGGACAGGAACAAAGGTCTACCCTAACACCCACCCTCCTTTCCACTCCAAGGCCGAATTAGGCCAGAGTCCACTTCCCCTGGAGAAATATGGGTACCTCCCTAAACTCAGTTTGTCGCAAAATCTAGAAGTATCTAGCACCCACAGCCTGTTAGTTTTATATAGATTATCTCAGATTTCAGTGATACCATGCACTTTAAAATTTTGTGGAATTGAGTGTTTTAGAAACAGAAGGGAAGCAGGTAAAAAAATGTTAGTTAACCTTTCATTTTCCCACTTACCTCCTACAGAAGACAACAAAAAGTAATTTCCAGCTAGAACCACTTTTATCAATGCAGATAATGCAAACAATAAAGTCGAGGGCAGCAGCCAAACATAACTGAACTCCTTTCTTGTTAGTAGGTTATCAGTGGGCCAAACATGGCACTTTCTGACTGTTTACAGTCCAGCTATTGCTAGTGAACTACGGGCATTCCCAGGTAGCAAGAGGGTCTCTCTCTTTTTTTTAAATATTTTATTTATTTATTCATAGAGACAGAGAGAGAGGCAGAGACACAGGCAGAGGGAGAAGCAGGCATCATACAGAGAGCCTGACGTGGGACTCGATCCAGGGTCTCCAGGATCACGCCTTGGGCTGTAGGCGGTGCTAAACCGCTGCACCACCAGGGCTGCCCAAGAGGGTCTCTTTTCTCATCTTCATTCAGTTACCCATCTAGCCACCTCCAAAGAACCACCGAGAGCCCTTCCTAATCCTCACCCTCCTGGTTCAATTACCATTACTTTGGACCAACCAAATTGGCCAAAAAACACCCAAAAAACAAGGACATTTTCGTAACACACTTGATGTGAATGAAACCATAAAGTTGAGAAGAGACCCCAAAGAGATCTGGGTCTTGCAGTGGCCTCCAGGAACCATAAACAGATCATCCTAGCCAGAATCTAGACTACTTTTAAAGGCCTCCATAGAAACAGAATAAAAAACACTCTTTGGTTACTTATATACTAGAAACCATACAAAGTTCTGAGGAAAAAGCGGGAGTCCCTGGATCCAGCCAAGCCTAGCTCAACTTCTCAATAACCTGAGTTAATATAGCTCCCCTCACAATTCTACTTTTGTTTTGCTAAAAAAAATAAATAAATAAAAATAGAAAAAATCAATCACTGTCAATAAGTTTTTCATTCCCAAAACAGATCCTTCCACTGAAGTATCCTCTTTACAACCTCTACATTATTAAATATGATTTTTTCAGATCAGCTTTCTCCTAAAGTATCCTGAGTTTCAAAATCCTAATAGATACTAATTCTTTTTTTTTTTTAAGATTTTATTTATTTATTCATGAGAGACACACAGAGAGAGAGGCAGAGACACAGGCTGAGGGAGAAGCAGGCTCCATGCAGGGAGCCCGATGTGGGACTCGATCCCAGGACTCCAAGATCACGCCCTGAGCCAAAGGCAGGTGCCAAACCGCTGAGCCACCCAGGGATCCCTAGATACTAATTCTTAAAATTGTTAATGTTGCACCTTGAAAACTAACAAGTAGGCAATGGTCTTACTTTTTTGTCTTGGTCAATTTCCTAATTTTGTACTTGAAAGTTTGGCGGGGTGAAAATATAATTGGCTATCAATACTGAAAACTCGGTATGTGATGAGTACCATGAGTGCTAAATGCTCTAGACAGAATGTCTCACTGAATTCAGCAATTCAACGAAGACAGCTGCGTTTACGGTCTTCATTTACACATGAGAAAACTTAAGAACAAAGTAATGTGGCCTGCAGACACTGTGCTCTCATCCCAGATGTCATGCTGTCTCTCAGATATCGGGTTAAGGCAGACAAGACACAAACAGAACCAGCTCAATTTCAGGTCCATTTCAGGATAAGACTTCTCCAAAGGAGCAGGAAGAGCAAGCAATCTGCCCTCCTCAATTTTCTGTTACCTAAGTCAAAAGTCCTCCCTTTCCCTTTGACTGCTTTAAAAAGAGAGCAAAATCTTCACGATCACCAGTATTTTGTCCTTTGTGGCAGGCCACCCATAGCCAGGAACAGGGCCCCGTCTCACCTGTCTCAGTGGTGCCGGTCCCGCTCTCTATCCCGGTGTCTCTCGTGCTCCCGGTTCCTTTCTTGGAAATAATCATCATGCCGATCTTCGTTATGAAGCAGGTCCCGATGCCTCCTGCTGCTTTCCCGGGACCGGCTAGGTGACCTCTCTCGGGACCGATGTCTTTTCCTATTAGAAAGATCCTTCAGCCTCACTCAGAGGACCTACTACGTGCCTTCCAAGAGTGTTGTTTTCTGGTGTCTTCCAGTATTTGTCTGAACCCCTTTTCTATTATGGGCCCAATGTCTGAGGATGTCAGCTCTTTGAGGACTAATCTTTTTTTGGGAAAAAGGAATAATCAAATGTGTTGAGATCTTACTAATGAATCAGGCACAGTGCTAGGAGCTTTACATGCTTATCTCATCTCATCTCTACAACAGGGCTGTAAGAGAAGTACTATTATTGTCCCTTTTTTAAAATGAGAAAAATGAGGCTTAGAAAGCTGGTGACTGCCACACTCAAAGCCGTACAGGTACTTTGGAGTAGAAATGGGACTCGAATCCAAGCACTTATGGCTTCAAAGCCCATGTTCTTAACTATGCTGGTCTAATCTTTATTCCTAAATAGCCCACTGCCTCACTGAACAACGGATTGCAGACATTACAACATTCATTAATGCAGATGTGACTAATTCCTTCCCCTTAAATAAGATAGCAGAGGTAGGCCTGTTCTTTCAGCCAGGGCCTTGCCACATCCCCTGGGCTCTCTTCCTCTCCCTGCCAATCCCTGGAAGAGTGCTGCTCGGGGCTGGTAGGCTGCTGAAGCAACCAATAACTCACCTGGACGAGCTTCCGCTGGCACCCACACTGTAGGACTTGGCTTCAATGCCATGAAGACAGTCCTTAAGAGAGGAGATGAGGACACGGCAACGCTCATCATTGGCAACCCGGGACTGTTTGATAACAGCAATGGCTGTGAGCAGCGTCTCAATCGCGTCACTGTAATCCCCTGACAGGGGACGGATGGGAAAGGCCAAGAATGAGCAGAGGCAGTAGATTAACTGGACCAAAAGGAGAACTCAAGAGGGCACAAACAGTAACTAGTTGTCTCACAGAACCACGGTAAGATGAATGAGGCAGAAGTGGCAGGTATAAAAGTGGACGGCATCTATATTTCAACAGTCTGCAATCAGGGATTCTCAGATGTTGCCAGTGGATATACAAAGTGGTGCAGGGTAGTCTGAGAACAATCTAATATCCGTTACAATAAACAATGTGCATACTTTTTGACCCAGAAAGTCTAAGAACAGTTCTACTTCTGTTCACAAGCATGTAAGCTTAACAGTGTTATTTTTCAGCATTATTTTATCAAAAAATTAGACACAAATTAAATTTCCTTCAGTGGCATCTGGCTATATAAATTATGTGATGCCGGTTTTATAAAATATTACACAGTTGTTAAGAGGCACGTGATAAATCTGCACGTAACAAAGTAATCCACATAAAGCGCTTAGCACAGTGCCAGGCACACAGTAAGGGCTCAATAAATGTTAGATATTATACACTGGTAGATGTCCAGAACATTAATTTTTTTAAAGTCGCAAAACAGTATTCCGTTTTTGTAAAAGGAATAAAAATTATATTTATGTTGTCATATGCACAGAAAAAAAATGAGGGACACTAAATTGTGGAAGGTGGTCTTGGTGGTGGGCCTTGCATAGAGGACTTTCATTAATTACCACTGCACATTTTTTTTTAATTTTTTAAATTTTAATTTTTTTCCACTGCACATTTCTAAGTCTGAATTATTTTAAATCTATAATCGGATGTGTGTACACATATACATAACATATACCTAACATGTCTGTATGTAGAGTATATTTATATATACGTGTTTTTAAATTTCGCTGCCATGAAGAACTAGCCCCTTCATTCCCCAAATGTGCACAGTGCCTGGCTCAAGGTTTGTGGTCATGGGGTAGGTACTTGCACAATGCTTTTCCATGCTAAGTCAAGTGCAATACAGACAGAAGATAATGCAAGGAAAGCATGGAACCAGACAGGAGTCCAGTGAAGAGGACTGGCAGCTTCCTCTGTGCAGGGCAATAAGAATAGAACGGAAACTGTGGAGGAACTGTGATTCTGTAGAGATCCAGGAACACCAGGATGTCAGCTCTACCAGAGCAGGGAATTTTTGCTTATTTTGTAACCATTCAGTAAGTATTTGTGGTTTGAATGACTGGAATGAGAACAACAAAAACGGACAGAGATAGAGATTCAGTTATTGATCATCTTAAGGTGCAGGAGTTTGTAAGGAAGAACAATGACTATTTCCTTTATACTCCTCTGTATACTGAACTTGTTAAAATGAGCACAGATTACTTTCTAATTAAAAAATCTTTCAGAAAAAAAGAATCTTTCAGATGTCAGTTTTCTGGAGGAAAAAATAAAGAGAGAGAATATATGTATTTCCTGTCTTTAACCTACCCTGTGGATTCAAATTTTGCAGCCAGAGATGAAAAATTACAGAAAACAGATGGCAATATTTAGTGTTATTTCCTAGGAGATCTGACAATCTACATTTACATCAGTGTGGGAAACTCACAAGAAAGAAGTCTGACTGATACCATAACATGAGACTCGGACCAAAACCCTATAAAGAACCAAAGATTCCATACTAGGGCTCTCAGAGTTACAGCTTCTGGTTCTGCCCACTTAATACTGACGGGGGCAAAAGTTAGCTCTAAGGGCATATATTATGTCTTACAATGACACCCAACAGACTTGCATCTTTCTAGGAGAGGCTACAGAGAGGTCAGCAGTTCTGTCTAAACCCCCAAATACAATGAAATTCCATATCAAACCATATCTAGTCCTAAGAAACCTGCAGTCTACACTAGGACTAGACACTAGATCCACTGATCAACCATTGAGATCTCCATGAGGGCAGGAATTTCATTCTACAACAGATACTACAATGAGATACTATTTGTAATCTAGGCACTAGGTTTGTTTTCATGAGGCAGGTCTGGATACAGGCTTAATAAATTAACATCATTAGAACTTCCCCCAAGCCACAAAACCACAGTATCAGATTATATACTACTGAAAATGTGCCACTCATGAGAATCTAACAGTACTCCAACTTTATCTTGCTGAACTTCTTCCCAAAGGAAATGACAAAACATGGAAAAACTAAAGGTAAGGTGAACACAGCAGAGGTAAGGTGAGTTACCTGCACTGGCTCCAGATACCGCTTTGGAAATGGCACTGCTGGAAATTGCTCTATTTCGCTTCATGATCTCTTCAAATTCTGCTTCACTCACTGTAGAGGGCGGAGGGCCCGAATCTCGGCTGCACAGAAATAACACCATTCCTGATTGCCCAAGCCTCTTATCTTTACCATAATCTACACTACAGTGTTACTTAATCATGTTCTCCTATATAATGTCTTAAATGGTTCTCAGCCTGTTCACATTATATGTGTTCACATTCTCTTCAAGGACAGAATTTACAATATATTCTTTTGTAATTTTGGCATGACCCAATGGCACTAGACATTTGCAGCATCCCTAACAGACACGTGTGGCTCTCAATTAATTAATTAATTAATTAAAATATTTTATTTATTTATGCATGAGAGACATAGAGAGGAAGGCAGAGACACAGGCAGAGGGAGAAGCAGGCTCCACACAGGGAGCCCAACATGGGACTCGATCCCAGGTCTCCAGGGTCATGCCCTGGGCGGAAGGTGGCGCTAAACCACTGAGCTACCGGGGCTGCCCTGTGGCTCTCAATTTAATCAAGCTCCTTAAAAAAGGATTACGAGGGATCCCTGGGTGGCGCAGCGGGGTTTGGCGCCTGCCTTTGGCCCAGGGCACGATCCTGGAGACCCGGGATCAAATCCCACATTGGGCTCCCGGTGCATGGAGCCTGCTTCTCCCTCTGCCTGTGTTTCTGCCTCTCTCTCTCTCTCTCTCTCTCTCTCTCTCTCTCTCTCTCTCTGTGACTATCATAAATAAATAAAAATTTAAAAAAAAAAAAGGATTACGAAAGACATGATTAGGGTCAAGAGACTAAGATGCAAATGAAACACCAAATAAAAAAAAAAAAACATTATCTAACAGATGGTTAACTATTTCCCAGGACTCAACACTATGACAACAGTTTCTACAAGGGAAAACACAAGAATTCAGGCTTACTTACTTCCTCAGGGAGAATAAACTACATAACACATGGTCTACACTACTATAGCTGGCTCAGATCTGAAAGAAACAAGATAGTCCTTACCTGCCATGGTGGTTATAGGGTGCTGAGGCCTTCATGTAAGTATCTGGTGGAGGCCCCACTGTAGCATTTGGTGGGGGGAAGAAGGCTGGATTGAGGTGAAGGGCAGGTGGGATGGCCCCAGGGGGAGGTACAGCCAGATGAGGAGGTAATCGAGGAGGAGGGGGCATGAGATGCTGGTAGTGGATGCCAGGAGGAGGAGGAGGGACCCCAAAGCTTGAGGAGAGAGGAGGTGGGGGCGGAATTGGGGGTGGGGGCAGACCCATCAAGGGGAGGGCTGAAGGAGGGCGACTGAAGTAGGGCAGCACACTGGGGGGCTTATCCACACGGGCAGATGAAGGTACAAGGTTCTCAGAGGGTGTGGCCCGTCCATCAGCAGAATCACTAGAATCCCGTGAATGGGCCCGTGGAGGTATTCCTATGAAGCAAAACAGAACTAACGTTACTGCCCAAGGCTTTACACGTACCCATGGGACCAGCTCATCCCTCAGCAAGAGTCCTCAGATACCATACTGAGGAAGGTGACAGGCAGCTGAGAAAGAAGGTAAAATCATCTATTCCCTTTTCTTTGGCCTCAGAAAAAAAGGGCTGAGGCAAGTTAGTTAAGTCATAAATCCAGAAAGCAGTATCACTCCAATTCCATGTCAGAGAATGCTCTTTATCTAGAACTCTCTGTGGTTCACACTCAATTTATCCTTAGACTTGTTTTCTATTTCTAAATGCAGGATCCTGATTAACCCAGGAGAAAATCACAGTGTTGAAGTTTGTTCATTACTGTTCAGCTGGAGTCAAGTGGATGTGGAATCCCCTTCCATGATTAAGAGTTCAGGGCCTCTCTCCTTAGACCAGTACTAGTTTACCTGAGACCAGTATTATGCTACTGTACACCTGCAATGTTCTCTCTGCAATGACATTTTGGCCAGAGAATTTGGGAGAAGTGAGGGAAGGGGAGGGGAGAGATACTTCCTCCATCTACATAACAAAACTCGTCACTGGGATGGGGAAGAGACATACACCACAGAAGACTAGAGGTCAAGTGAGAAGTAGAAAGAAAACGGGAGGTAAGCCAAGAGAAGACATGTCCACAGATTGAGCAGATGGTACACAGCTGACGGCAGGGACTCCTAGTAAAAAGCAACCCTCGTATCTGGGGAACTCCCACTATATTTCAATGGCCCAAACACTGTACCCCACAGGAAAATCACCACAGCACTTTGGTATGGTGGTGTGCACAAGGGCTCACAAATGCTTGTACACAGCTGGAAATGTGGCTGTACACTGTAAAGTCACTCAGTTAAACTTGTTCACTCTCTCCAATTTAATAGTCTACTCCAGGCCTGGTTAAGGTGGAACCCAACAGAAGAACATGATCACATAACCTTAGAAGTCTTGGAAGCAGAGAGATGCTGTTAGCAGTCAAATGTGGGCAGAAAGGAGAGTGCTCCTTAAACTAACACTTGCTGATAAACTCAACTCCAGGTTCAAGCATGCAGGGACCTATTATCTCAGCAAACACCTTACTTTCTCCACCATAGCCTATCACCGGTGCCTATCATGGCATACTTGTGCTTCATATCTTATCCATATGGCAACTTGCTTCTTCCCTGAGTTCTCTCAAACCAAAGAAAAAGGTATCAGTAAATGGGATCCTCTGAAAGTTAGCCATCTTCCCACTTTTTCAAAGATTGTTTTATATCTATGGCTACAATCCCAGAGTAGCAACATTTTTAAGCAGAGGGAGTCTACTAGCTGTACTTAGTGAATTAATAGAACCCATGTCTGTCAACATGACAGAGCAGAAAACAGCACTCAGTCACCACCATCATTTCAGCAAAGAAATGGAACACTGAGGAGTACATAGCTAAGCAGAAGTAGGAATGTTATCCCTAATGTAACTGTACCTTTATGCAGCTTAGGAAAATTAGAAAAGGGTTGAATTATACAAAGACTCTGAAACAGAGGAACTTGAAAATTCAAGTTGTCAAAGAAAAGCATGTGCCTTTTAACCCAGAGCAATGGGAGTTCACACTATATCCATCTAGGCTCTCAATCTAGTTAAAAGAACAGTTGTTCCTATGCAAATAGAGAAGTGGCCATATCTTCACCTTCAATCAATCAATTCAAGGTCCCAGTGGACCACCCAATCAATACAAGACACTATTTTGAGAGCAGGACCTAAGAAATGACAGAACACAGGTGATGAACCCCCCCACCCCCACCCCCATCAGAAAAGCAAAGAAAAGCAGCTGGCTGCTTCAGGCAGGGCATTGCAGGGTGGCTGCACTTTGTGAGGTCAGGATAATCCAAGGTCTGGTCCTCAGGTTTTGTGGGTTCAGAAACTCAACTTTAATAGTTCACCCAGGGTGATTGTACCCTAGGAAATGGATTCAACGCTAACCAAACTCACAAGAGACTGATTCATAAACCAGAATGCCAATTTATTAATTTACAATGAGAAATATAACTGCCAAGCAGACTGGAATACTTGTGTCAGCTGGTCAGCGCATTCTCTTCCCAGTAGGAGAGCCTATTTGGGAAACCAAATTAGTATCAGAAGGTGGCTTGGTGAGTACAGAATCAGAACAAAGGGAGTAAGGTGAACTCAACGGATGCTATCATCAAGCTAAGATAGTATAATGCAGCTTTATTAGTGGGAAACACTTGCCAAGCAGACTAAAATATCTGGTAATTGAAAGGGCACTCTCTTCCCCTGGACAATGCTGGAGAAACATTGTTAAACTCTTCTTTTCCAGCACTCCTTTTGGTTGATTCCTTACAGAGCACCCTTCCAACATATGTTTATTTCAAGATTATAGCCATATTTATAAACATTACCTGTATATTAAGGTGGCTGCTTGTTAATTTATACATGTTACAGTTAAGCCCATTCACTATACTGATTTAAGACAAAACCATATAATTTAGAGTTGACAGGAACTTTAAACATCATGTATCTACTTCAGAGCAGAAATAGTACAGTGACTTGACCAAGGTCACACAATGAGTCAGTGGCAAAACCAAACTATAATCTGAACCTCTCAGCACAGTGCTCTCTCTTATACACAGCCTCATTTTTGGGTCTACTAATTAACCTTGCCAACACTCATAACCACCACCACCCTCCCCCAAACTCCTCCACATTGTAGGCAGAGCCCACACCACAGAAAACAAACCCACAAATTTGCCCCCCTTCATACAGATGGTCTCCACGTACCCCCTCTTGGGACTCGGACGCACTCACGTTTCCGAGCCTGTGCCTCAAACTGTGACAGGTTCTGCCGGGTGGCCGGCCTCACGTCCACTTTTTCTCCATTAAGAACCTTTCCTGGCAAGAGTTCCAACAATTTGTGGACAGAGTTTTCAGAGGCTACCACCACCTCAGCATACCTTGAAGAAGAAAAATTAAAAATGAGTGAGATCTATTAGCCAATCAAAAGAACAAAGAAACTCTCTTCCACTTTTAGTGAAAGCTGGTAAAATAAAAGATATCTTGCTAATAACATACACAAAACTACCATCAATAAAAAGGTGTCAGCCTATAATCGTCCTATTTATTTGGATCAGAAATCAGCTCTTTTTGCCCCTCACGGATGGACATTGTTACATTGCAGCAAGGTCCCCATTCTAAGGCAGTCTGTCAAAACCAAGGCAATAACCTGGGCCAGGGGTCAGAGGGATTAAAATCCAGGGCCAAAATACAGTGTAGATCTTTATCCTAATGATGACAAACTAAAAGGGGCTTCTCAAATCCAGACCTCACCCTTTGGACTGGCCATTTGCTCGATTCTCAGCAAATTTCAACTCCACCACATCATAGACTCCTATAGAGCGAATAACCTGGATCAGCTGCTGGTCTGTGGTCCACTGGGGCCGGCAAGATGGAAAAGGAAGAAATGTCAAGAGCTACACCCCCTCCCCACCTAGAATGTCCCAAACCCTTTCCCCAAATCTAGGATTCTAGTCACAATCATGACCTCCCACAGAAATCCAAGAGCCCACCAACATTTCAATTATTGCAGGCTTTTATTATCCTCACCCATCCAGCATTCCAAAACCTCCCACCACTCCACTTGAGATTAAGAAAATTAAAACCTATTTTAACTTTGACTGCCATTTGGGCTGGCTGGTCATCAGTTCAAACAATGATTACTAGCAGCTTTTAATTACAGACCTGACAGGCTACAGTTTAACTAATGTCAGGAACTTCCCCCTCAGTATGTGCATTTCCTAATTTGGACCCTCCCTCTACCAGGCCCAAAACATGTCTATCACACAAGAATTTTTGCATAAGAATCACCACCTACCCTGAGTGTACTAGAACTATCAAGGTCTTTGATCCTGTCACCAATCGTTATCAAAGAACCAATGAATGACCCCACCAAGAGTTCAAGCTGTTCACTCTGAAATCTCATCCCACAGATGACCCTGCTAGACATAAAGCCCCAGGGTCAGGGGCATTAACAAGATGGCAGAAAAAGCAACTACCCACTTAATCATTGCTTTCTTCGGCACCAGTACGTCCTCAGGATAGTTCTCTTTCAGAGATCAATCCAACCTGATCCCAGGAAAAAGAAATCCAACCCCATCAGAGCACAAAACAGTGCAACAGTGGTTTTTGAAAATGCCATCACCTCCCAGCACTCTCCCTCCAGCCTACCCAGGAAGCTTTTTGGTTCCCCATGCTCACCCAGGAGAAGCTGCCCACGTATACAGCAGCTCGCCTATTGCGGAGGCCACTGTACGTGTACAGGATCGCAGGGCTCTTGTTATTGGGCTTGGGAGATGGCTCTTGGCGTACAGGAGGAGGTGGCTCAGTGCTGCTGCTTCTGTCATCTGAGGGCTGTGAAGTGGCTGTCAACACGTCATCATACAGGTCAATCTGATCTGTATTGTTGAACTCTGGGTCCTAAGAGATGAAGGGTTGGCAAAGGTGGGTTTGCAGACCTCCCAATGGGGTTCATTCTATATCATTCCAGTTTACTTAGAATCCACACTCAAATATTTCGTAAAATGTACAAAACTTCCCTGTCGTACCCTAGGAAGCTAGTAAGAATAATTTCCTGGTAAGAATACTTTTTCACGTAAAACCACTTCACTGAATTATGCTTCTGTAGCTTTTTCTCTCAAGACCCTCTTAGAAGTCTGCAATGCTTTCAGCTTCAGCCAACTGTGAGAATCAAAAGGTACATGATGATTACAAAAGCAAACTAAGAACACATAAAGATGCACCTGCTACTATTGTCAATGAGGTTAGCTTCTAAAGACATCTAAGATACAGTAATGAAAAACTTATTTTCCACAACTTGTACTATTTCCAAAATCACGAGTTACACAAATCTTCTTACTCTATTTAATAAGAAAAAGAGTAAAGAGTATATTCACTTAAAAATAAAAGGGAAAAGCATATTCAAGTGGGAACCCAGAATGCAAGGAATAACTGAAATTACTGGTTTAAACTTTTATATTTACACAAATGATTCAGAGAAGCTCTAAAACTCATAGTATGCAATCCTATCTTTCTATTAAGTATCCATCGAAGAAACATTTTTATTTTTGTTATTTATAAAGATTTTAATTTATTTATTCATGAGAGACATAGAGAGAGGCAGAGACATAGCCAGAGGGTGAAGCAGGCTCCATGCAAGGAGCCCGATAGGAGACTCGATCCTGGAACCCCAGGATCATGCCCTGAGCCAAAGGCAAATGCTCAACCGCTGAGCCACCCAGGCGTTCCAAAGAAACATTTTTAAAAGAAAGGAAAGGAATAACTCTGGGAGATTTTCCCTTAATATTTTTTAGGTGACAATGTAAATCCAATACATGATTGTGACACTTATAAGAGATTTCTGGGAGCAATGCCAAAGATGTTTAATGATACCACAAAAACAGTGAAGTTCTCTCAAAATATTAAGGGTCAGAAAACAGGACAAGCACCCACATCATAAACTATGTCACAGTAAGCATTTACAACATGAACATGTACTCCGAAACACAATGCAAAATATACTTTTATCATGTGTTACGTTTACACGTTTATTATTGTTATGGAATAAATGTGTTTGTCCCCCCCAAAATGCAGATGTTGAAACCCTACTCTCCACTGTGCTGTATCAGGAGGTGGGGTCTTTGGGAAGAAATTACAATTAGACCAGGCTTTAAGGGTGGAACCCTATTGAACAGGATTAGTGCCCATATAGGAGCCAAGAGAGAGCCTGCATGCTCTGCTCTGCATCCCATGAGGATACAAACTGGCATTCTGCAACCTAGAAAAGGGCCCTCACCAGAAGCCAATCTGACTTCAGCCTTCTAATCTCCAGAACTGTGAGAAATCTGCTGTTGTTTATAAGCCACTCAGTTTTTGGTATTTTGTTATAGGAATCAAGTTAACACTATATACCTCGAATCTTAAAACCACGAAAACCACCAGGAGACCTTAATGTTTCAGATTTGCAATGTCAGTTATTTCAGAGAGCTCTTTTTTATGTTAAGGATCAGAAAGTATTTTTTCAGATAACATTCTAAAACACCCTAACAGTGCTAAAGATGATGCTGCCAAAATGACAGAAAGAAGTTCAAGGTGTTTTAGGGAAACTACAGCTCATTCATGACATTGCTTTTAAAAAAAATAAAGGAAGAACCTATGTTAAGTAACTTTTCTAGTTCCCTGAAGAAACAGAGCACTTCCTCTAATGCAACTCAGGACTGGAAGCTCTAATAGCTTTCTTTGTTCAAGAACTGCAGATTCTAAGGTGACACTAGAGAGGGAACTCACTACAAAATTCATTCCTAGATCTACATACCATCACATAGTTCTGGAAACAATCTTTTAGTTTCTCAGTTTATCTGAAGTACAATAGAAGAACATGCACACAAAGCATTATTGGGCTGTTCTGATACTGAATAAAAAAGGATTCTACTTCCTGAGGCATGTAAATAATTTCAAATGCTACAAATACTCTAAAAAAATCCCACAGAGAGTTTATACCTTGTAAAAATATTGGAGAGAATTGCAAAAGAGAGTACCCTTTTTAGAGGGAACTTAAGAAAAGGGGGGTGCCCAGGTGGCTCAGTTGGTTAAAAGTTCGACTCCTGGTTTCTGCTTAGGTTGTGATCTCAGGGTTGTGGGACTGAGCCCCAAGTCAGGCTCTATGCTCAGCGTGGAGTCTGCTTGAGATTCTCTCCCTCTCTCCCTTTAAAGTTAAATAAATAAAATCTTTTTTTTTTTTAACAAGTGTTTTTTTTTTTTTATTATTTATTTATGATAGGCACACAGTGAGAGAGAGGCAGAGACACAGGCAGAGGGAGAAGCAGGCTCCATGCACCGGGAGCCTGATGTGGGATTCGATCCCGGGTCTCCAGGATCGCGCCCTGGGCCAAAGGCAGGCGCCAAACCGCTGCGCCACCCAGGGATCCCTAAAGTTAAATAAATAAAATCTTAAAAAAGAAAAAAAGAAATCAATGTGACAAAAAAGCACATGAAGACTGTTTTAGATAGTCAAAATTATAAGTAAATAAGCGTCTTGTATAAAAAGAATATATATGTAAAGAACAGGAAGAGAAGCTAACATTGGAGAGCACAGGGTAGATAATAAAGTGAGTAAAATGAAGGGCTAAAAACCTGACAAACATAATGGTGAAAAATACTTCATAGCCCTTATGTTTCAAAGAACTGCAATTCTAAACAAAATCATTTACTTATTTATATAGTAGGTATGGTAATATGCTCTTATGGTTCAAGATAGGAAGAAGATGGAAACCACTTGAACCCCTCCCATGTTCTAATCCTTAGAGAGCACTACTTTAAAAGCACCACGGTGCTTTTTCAATTTAAATCAAAGATTCTGAAATAGAACTTATGGGGAATGAGTACTTCATTACTTCAGTGAGTACTTCAGTACTCCGTGGAACCAAACTTAGAATTCCTTCTAGGCAGTATCTGTGATTCAGAAATGTACATCTCAAATTTTTAACACAGGGCAGCCTGGGTGGCTCAGCGGTTTAGCGCCGCCTGCGGCCCAGGGCCTGATCTTGGAGACCTGGGATCGAGTCCCACATCGGGCTCCCTGCATGGAGCCTGCTTCTCCCTCTGCCTGTGTCTCTGCCTCTCTCTGTGTCTCTCATTAATAAATAAATAAAATCTTTTAAAGAAATTAAAAAAAATTTTTAACACAAAAATTACCACTAATATTGGGCAGTGAACTAACATGCAGATTCGTATAGCTCAGAAACCACACATTACCAGGAAATCTCCCATACTGCAAGCCTAGGCAATCTACTCTTTCAGGGACCCCCTAGAGAGCAGATAGACTCAAGTCCTGAAAACCCTTGTTTGTATATGGATTACCTTACCACTTTAAGAAGCACAAAAGGATTCAATGAATCCAAAATTGTCACAAGATTCAAATGGTTTCTCTGGGCCATAAAACCAGGGTTCAAAAAAGCTGGTGGGAACTGTTCTGATTCACAGAGCAGGCCTGTTGAGGAGTTTATTGAAGAAACAACGTATCAAGTTGTTTTTGGATTTAAATCTACTAGCAACACCAATTCATTTTAACTTCTTCAGCTGGTCAGACAGAAAAACAGGCCTGACGTTTTTCTGATTACCAAATGTTGAATTAGGTTAAAGCAAAATCTAATTCTACAAATTAAGTGAAAAATACAATGTTTTATGTGCATTGATGCTGAAGGTTTCATTCCAGGAAGATTAAAAAAGTATGTATTTAAAACTGAATGAAGATCTCATGAAAAATTTTGTTTAGTACTATAGGAAGAACTATGACTGTCTCTTAAGCTCTTAGAGAAAAAAGAACTTGTATGATTTTGAATTTAAATAAGGACTTCTCCACCTGTACGCTCACTGTTTCTTTCTACCCTCCAATTCCCTTTTCCTAATTTCTGAGGGAAGAAAGGCTATGATTTATTTTTTCAAGGCCACCTACTCGATACCAAAGTTTCTTTTAATTGTAACTAAAGCTCAAAGCTTTTGGCTTTATAATGACAATCTCTAGTCCTCAGCTTACGCCCTCCTTCCCTGCCACTGTCCACTGCTCTCAATCACCAGGAATGCAAAGTCTTTTTAACACAGGGATCCATTTCTTCCCTGTTCCCTCCCTAGCCCTGACACTGTGCCTAGCAAAAAGAAATTGCTTAATAAGTACTTGTTGATGGAAGCAGCGAACAGTGTTGGGCAATATGCAAAGAGCCTTGCTTTGCACAAGGAACAGAGGCAAAATACTCAGCAAAGCGACAGCTCATGCTTACTTTTCCAGAGTACCTTTCCCCAGCCCAAGAGAGCAACTGTGAATTTTGACTCCCAATATGACAGGAGTAAAGCAGCTCTACAAAAGAATTTTTTACAGCTCATGTTGTAAGAGATCAGAGTCTCAGCACCCTAAGGTTCCATCCAGGAACTGCATTCATTTTGCTTGGGGGGTAGGGTACATGTGATAAGGTTCTCATGCCTGGATCAGCTTGGGATGAATTCTTAATATTCCTTAAAAAAAAAAAAAAAAAAGATTTATTTATTCATGAGAGACACACACAGAGAGAGGCAGAGACACAGGCAGAGGGAGAAGTAGGCTTCCCACAAGGAGCCCGAGGAGGGACTCAATCCTGAATCCCAGGATTATGCCCTGAGCTGAAGGCAGATGCTCAACCGCTGAGCCACCCAGGCGTCCCTTAATATTCCTAAAACATTCTAAAATACAATCTGTCCTGGCTGCCTTCAGGTCTAACCTTGCTTTTAACAATTCTTCCCAAACAGAACTTTAATATTTCTTTAGCAGCCCCCAAATTACACTAAAAGCAGCTCTACCAAAAATTAACTCATTTGGCGGGGAACACAGAGACAGAGACACACACACACCCCTACCCACCCACCCGTCTCCCTAGACCTTCCACAAATGGACATAAAATATTCAAAATCGGCACTTCTTTCACTTGCCAAGCATTAAATATTGTGTTTAGTATAAACGTCTACTAGATACCACATACAATCTTTGGCCTTAGACCCATTAAAAAAAAAAACTTTTCTAAAGCAACAGGACAACAATTAATTGTTGAGTCCAGTGACTTCTACCCTAACAAAGCAGTGACCACTGGACAAGGCCTGTGTCTCATCTAGAACCTCCAAGCTATACAGCTTAAGAAATTATGGTATTCCATTTTGTTAGACCAAATGCGGCTAGACCTGCGTGTTCTGCGCACTTCTCAATGAGCAGCATTGCTTTCAACCCACAGAGAAGGAAATCAAGGGGGGAAAAGGGTTTTTATCAATAATAAGAACTACGAGAACCTTCTTCTTTTCTTCCTGTCTTGCATTAAAAATAAAACAAAAACAACCCACAACTTGTAAAGAGTAGTAAAGATCCGATTCAAAGTAATATGGACAACTCAGGAAAATAATGGTGTGTAACTAAACTAATACACTAAAACCTTTCTTTCCATCCATAATTATTTGACTTGTTTGGGCTTAAAATTTTTTTTCCATGTATTTAGGTCAATCGGCAGTCACATGTAGAGGACTCCAGTTTACCTGAGTACACATGGGAAAATGACTATTAAATATTCTACTTCAGGAGGCTGTATAATGGGTAGAAAGTCACTATACTATTCCACTTAGGTGTTCTAAAATCTCCATGTTAGAAAACGGCATAATATGTTAAAAAAAATTAATATAACTTGTGCCAAGTGAAAAAAAATGACATGTATAAAACCTTTGTTGCCTTGTATAAAAGTCAGGGTCCAACCAGGGCACCTTCTTTAATCTGTCCTTTTTATCCTTTTTCCAGTTCCTTACGTGTACCCACGTAAGATGCTAATGAAAGGTGCTAATGGGAAGAACCAGTTTACTCATGTAAAATAGTGCTGAAAACAATTCCCGCAATATATCACTAACTTTTAAATACAGAGTACGGCACATTCTTGAGATTGACTTCAATGTTAGATTATCACTTCAAGGAATATCACTGCATAATGTTCCTTGAGGTAATATAAACCGACCGACAAATCCAGGGTATACCAAGGGGTCTATATACGCTTTTTAACTGGTGTGTCCAACACCCTTACCTCTACCCTCTACACAGCTACATTCATCAATAAAATAAAATTTATTACACCAAAATGCCTATGCACCTCTCAAAACTAGAGGCAAACTACTTACAGAAGGAAGACCCAAAACAGGCAGAATGGAGCTGCAGTTAAAGTATCTTTTACACTGTATTTTTGTACTGCCTTATGGAGGAGGGGACTACATTTCCCCGGCTGCCCTTTCAAAGAACTGCAAGGGGGAAGGGCGCCTGCGTGGTTCAGTCCATTAAGTCTCTGACTCTTGATTTCAGCACAGATCATGATCTCAGGTATGTGAGACCAAGCCCTCATCAGCTCTGCACTGGGCATGGAGCGCTTAAGATTCTCTCGCCCTCTCCCCTTCCACCTCCTTCTCCCTCTCTAAAAAGGGGGGGCGGGGGGAGAATAACCGCACAGGGAAAGGTATGAACACTGTCCTCATGAATACTACAGCAAACCTAAGTGTGATTTTCTTAAGTGTGGCTAGTCTTTGAGGAGACTGACACCCAAGTTTGGCCTCCTGGGGGAGCAAGTTCCACAGGTTGATTCACCATTCTATTATATCTAATTTTTATTTGCTCTTAAAGCTTGTAAAATTAAGCCTTGGCAGCTAAAAATCAACATAAAACGCAATGGTCAGACGTCTTTAAAGTCTGTGGGAGAGTAAAAAATTTAGACCCGGCAGAAGGATGTTCAGGCCTAGCAAAGACTGTCAATGCTTGAAACCCCTGCAAGTTTGGTCAAAGTGACTCAGCTGAGCCCAGAAAATCCCAGTGCTAACGACCCCTCACCTGATTGAACTCCTCGTCAGCATATATATCAATCAAGTCCACTCCTTCCGACATGGCTCCGGAAGGAAGATCGCGAGCCCGGAGAACGGACAAAGTAAGGAAGATGCCACTGCGGTCTCCTGAAAGAGGCAAGTTAGAAGGCATGAGGGTCCCGGGCTGGGAGGAGAGCAATGGTTGCCAACCTCCGGTCTCCAGAGACGCAGCCTCCCGGCAGCCCAAGCTCGGTCCCACCCGCCCCGCCCCGCCCCCGGCCTCGCGCCGCCCCTCGAACTCCCAGGCCGCCGGGGCTCGCGGGGCTCGCGGCCCATCGCCCTCGGGCCTGACCCGAGTTGCGCCGCAGCTGCCCGTGGCGCGACGGCAAAGCCCAGGCCTCTGCTGCGAGGGGCCCAGGGACGGCGCTGCCAAGAACGCCCGCGGAGAAGCCCGCAGCGCCAGCCCGCCGCACCTGCCTAGGCCCCAAAGCGTCCCCGGCCCGAGTCCCCGCGGGTCTGGATTTCCAGCCGCTTCCACTCCCCACCCAGGCCCAGTCCTCGCCCCCAACTAGGCCCGCCCCGCTCCCTCCCCACAGATTCAGCCCGGCGCTCTCGGCCGCCTCCTTCAAAAGCCCGCACCTCCCACCGCCCGTCGACTCCGACTGCCCCAAACGCAACCGACCCCCTCCCAGCCTCAGCGCTGGCCCCGAGCCCTCTTCCGGCTCAGCCGGCCCCCGGCCGCGCGCCCCCGTTACCGGGAATATGGCGGCGGCGGCGGCGAGTCCGGACTAGGCCCGAAGCGCGCGAACCGCTCTCGGCCCCAGGTCCCGCCCCCTCCGCCTCTGGCGTCATGCGTACAGCCACTTCCGCCGTACGCAGGGACGCATCTTCCGGCTCAGGCCCTCAGCGCCGAAGTCCTCAGTTCTGGCGTTCGGAAGTTCCCGGAAGTGGCCAAGCTGTAGGTTTCCGGCGCGGGTCGGGAAGGATGGCGGTGGCCGCCACGTTCCCGCGTCTGGCACGGGTGAGGCGAGCGGAGATTTTAGGGTCCTGGGCAGGCCATAGTGGGGGCTGGGGGCTGAGTCTCGTCTTACGACGCAGTCATGGAGACTGCGAGGAGCATCCAGCTGCCTGACATCCCAGGGCAAGGGCAGAGCCAAGGAGAGATGCGCCTTGCAACGTAGGAGATTCAGGTCACGTTCACTCTTTCCTGAGCCCGCTGTGCCTGTCTCGTGCGAGACCCAGTTCAGATTTCACCTGTTTCCCCGGTGGAGCTGGCTGCACCGCCTCTGCCAAATCTGAAGTCTGTTCTATTGTCTAACACCTGTTATGATTGTACGACTTCAGATCATTCTGTTGTTGTTGGAGGCTTTTCGTTCACACTGTAAACTTCTCTCAGTACTACTTTTTTGCTGCTTCTCATAATATATTTGTAGGTTGCGTTTTCGCTTGTCTCGAGATATTTTCGAATTCCCCATTTGATCTTTGACCCATTTGAACTATTGGTTACTCATGAGCTAGAGTGTTGGTGATTTTCACATATTCGTAAATTTTCCAGTTTTCCTCCTGATGTTGGTCTCCAGTTTCATTTCATTGTGGTCATTTGTGGCATTTTAATCTTTTTTTAATTTGGTAAGACTTACTTTGCATCCTAACGTGATCTGTCTTGGAGAATGCTCCTATCCAAGTGTGCTTGAAAATAATGTATTCTGCTGCTGGTTGAAATGTTCTGTATGTGTCCATCTTGGTCCATTTGGTCTGTAGCTGTTGTTCAGGGCTTCGGTTTACTACATTGACCTTTTTTTTCTGTCCAGGAGTTCTGTCCATTACTGAATGTGGAATATTGAAATCTATTTGTATTGTGTTGCTGTTTATTTCTCTCTTCAGTTCTGTCAGTGTTTGCTTCATATGTTTGAGTGCTCTAATGTTGATTGGAAATCTATGACTGTTAAATATTCCTGGTGCGTTGACCCCGTTACCACGATATAATAAATGTCCCTTATTTCGTGACGGTTTTTGACTTAAAGCCTGTTTTGACTGACATAAGTAGGGCCATCTTTGCTCTTTGGTTACCATTTGCATGGGCTATCTTTTTTTGTCCTTTTGCTTTCAGCCTATGTATTCTTATATCTAAAAGGAGTCTGTTGGGATCCCTGGGTGGCGCAGCGGTTTGGCGCCTGCCTTTGGCCCAGGGCGCGATCCTGGAGACCCGGGATCGAATCCCACGTCGGGATCCCGGTGCATGGAGCCTGCTTCTCCCTCTGCCTGTGTCTCTGACTCTCTCTCTCTCTCTCTCTCTCTCTCTCTCTCTCTCTCTCTCTCTATCATAAATAAATAAATAAAAATAAAAAAAATAAAAGGAGTCTGTTTTAATAGCATAGAGTTGGATCTTACTCTTTAATCAAAACACTAGTGTTTTGATTGGAGAGTTTAGTTCATTACATGTGAAATAATTACTGATCCAGAACTTACTGCCATTTTGTTCATTGTTTTCTATTCGCATTGTAGCTTTTGTGTCCTTTTTCTCCTTCCTTGCTGTTATCCTTTGTGTTTTTCTTTTCTTTCTTTCTTCTTTTTTTTAGAGACAAACTTTAATCCCTTTCTCATTTTCTATTGTGTATCTCCTATTCCTATGGATATTTTCTTTTTGGTTACCATGTGCCTTACGTAAAGCGTAATTTATTTGAGAGAGTGCAAGCGCACAGGGAGCAGAGGCAGAAGGAGAGCATCCCAAGCAGAGTTGGCATTGAGTGCAGAGCCCAAGGCAGGGCTTCATCTCAGGACCTTGAGATCATGACCTAAGCAGAAACCAAGAGTTGTTTGCTTAACCAACTACACCATCCAAGCACTCCCACAATTACATATTTTTTTATATTGTATTAACTTATGTTTTTCTATTTTAACTTCTATATCAGAATTAGGGCAGCCCGGGTGGTTTAGCACTGCCTTCAGTCCAGGGTGTGGTCTTGGAGACCCAGGATTGAGTCCCATAAATAAAGTCTTAAAAAAAACAAAAAAAAACAACTTGTGTATCAGAATTAAGAGTGATTTACATATCACTGTTACAATATTACAATATTCTGTGTCATTTGTTAATCTTTACCAGTGATCTTTATGTTTTCATAGGCTTTTGTGTTTCTTTTTTTTTTTTAAGACTTTTTTTTTTTAATTTATTTATTCATGAGAGGCACGGAGAGAGAGAGGCAGAGACACAGGCAGAGGGAGAAACAGGCTGCATGCAAGAAGCCCAACGCGGGACTTGATCCTAGGTCTCCAAGATCACACCCCAGGCTGAAGGCGGCGCTAAACCACTGAGCCACCGGGACTGCCAATAAGCTTTCTGCCCCTTTCTCTTTTCTTCTTCTGAGTTCCCATATTATTTATACTTGTTTACTTGATAATGTCCCATAAGTCCCTTATGTGCATTTCACTTTCTTTCGTTCTTTTTTTAATTCCTCTGATTGGGAAATTTCAAATGACTTATCTTTGAGTTCACAGATTCATTCTTCTGCTTGATCAAGTCTGCTAGTTGACCCTCATAGTAAATTATGTTTGTTTGGTTTTTATATTCTTTGGTTCTAAAATTTGTTTAGTTCTTTTTAAATATTTTTCTGTTGATATTCTCATTCTGTTCATGCATTGTTTTCCTGAGCCGATTGAACATCTTGAAGACTGCTGTTTTGAGTTCTTTGTCAGGTAATTTATATGCCTGTTTCTTTAGGGTTGTCTTTTACACATTTATTTCATACTTTTGATCGGGCCATGTTTCTTCTTGTCCCTTGAACTTTATGTGGTGTCTACACTTTTGAAAAAACAGCTCTCCCAGTCTTTTTGGACTGGCTTTGTACAAGGAAAGACCTTTGTCACCAGTCAACTTGGCTAGAGATTCCAGGAGCCTCTCAGACTTTTGTCTTCTCTAGGCTTGTGCATGTAAACTCCAAGTTGGAAGGATTTCATGTCTTCTTTTTTCAGGAGCCTCTTACTTGATTTCTGGGTTTCTCATAAAAGGGAATTGGTCCATGTGTTGTTGAGTTGGTGTCTGTGTGAGAGAAGGAGAATGTGGGACTTCCTGTTCCATCATCTTGCTGATGCCACTACCTTATAATTGCATCTTGATAGGTTTTGCCCTTCTCCTGATTGGGAGCCTTTGGGAGATTAAGGACCATGCCATCAATGTATGCTCAGATTTTAACACAAACAAGCAACTAAAATGTATACCATTCCACAAGAATTTTAAGGGAATACAAAGGAAAGAGAAAATATTTCTATTGAAGAATTTCCAGAAAGATACTTGTTAAGAACATATTTGCAGTTAGAGCTGGATTCTAGTCTTAACTGCAATTACTGTTTAGGTGACCTTGGTTAAGTTGTTTAACTTCTCAGAGCCTCCACTTCCTAAGTTATAAAGTGGGGACAGTATCAACATAACTTCTTAAGAACTAAATGAGATCGAATGCATTTAACACCTAGTAAGTATTGAGTGGATGACTGAGGGTAAGTCCTCATAAAGATGTTTGTGGTTTATTTCAGATGCTTGCTCTGTCAAGGCGCCACCTAGTGTCTCCTTTGCTCAGCACACCATCCAACCGGTTCTACAGAGGTGATAGCCCAACAGACTCCCAAAAAGACATGATTGAAATCCCTTTGCCTCCATGGCAGGAGCGAACTGATGAATCCATAGAAACCAAAAGAGCCCGGCTGCTCTACGAGAGCAGAAAGAGGGGAATGTTGGAAAACTGTATACTCCTTAGGTAGGGAGATATGAGATTTGGTGTCACTTCTCTTTCACTGGAGGTAGCCTTTTCAACTTTGTTCTTTTTCTCATTTTTAGCCTCTTTGCTAAAGAGTATCTGCACCACATGACTGAGAAACAGCTGAACCTCTATGATCGCCTGATTAATGAGCCCAGTAATGACTGGGATATTTACTACTGGGCCACAGGTACTGGCATGATCAGCAAGCAGCATGATGTGAAAAATAGGATGACTTGCACCGATTTGAGTCTGGAATATTTTTTTCTTTCTATTCATGCAGTCTACTGAGTCCAGTAGACCCTCAACCCCAGTAGCACTCCAAATTTTTCAAAGTGTGCAAAGTTATTTTATTAGTTAAAGTTCTTTGTTTGCAAGTAATGGAAACCCGTCTAACTTAAGCAAAAAAGGAGTTTAGTGGGATGGTGTGGAAAGACAGTTGTTATAGATAAAACAGGCTGGCAGTGGTATGGAACCTGACAACTGTAGAAGGCTACATAGGAAGAGTTTCTTGGTAGTCTCACTTCAGCACTGCCTTTGGGAAGAATGGTTCTTACTGTACATAATGAGGATTAGCTTTGGCTGTGAGTAAAACAAACAAAAAAATCCAAAACAATAATAGCTCAAACAAATCAGGATTGTATTTTTTCTTTCTCATAACAGAAGTCCAGAGGTAGGCATTCCATTCAGAAGCCATGAACTCCAGATTCCTCTTGATTTACTTCTTCATCCTCAGCATGTACTGTCTTCCTCATGGTCACAGGTGGTTGCTGCAGGTCTATTCATCATGTCTGTGTTTCAGCCAGGAGTAAATGTGTAGCAGCACATGCCTTATTCTTACGGATCCTTCTCAGGAGATTTTATTTATTTATTTATTTATTTATTTATTTATTTATTTATTTATTTATTTATTTATTTTTATTTATGATAGTCACACAGAATGAGAGAGAGAGAGAGGCAGAGACACAGGCAGAGGGAGAAGCAGGCTCCATGCACCGGGAGCCCGACGTGGGATTCGATCCCGGGTCTCCAGGATCGCGCCCT